CATAACTGCATCAAAATATGACTTAGAATTAAAGTTTACAGAAATGTGCAAGACTTGTACACTGAAAACTGCAAAATATTGCTGAGAAAAACTAAATTAATGGAGAGCTAGTCCATGTTCATTGTATATTTCAAAAGACAGACACCACTGAAAGACTCAATATTGTTAATACGACAATTCTCTCAACTTTATACATCAATGCTATCTGTTAGAATTCCAGCAAGATCTCTCTGTTATAATTCCAGCAAGATCTGTTTGTGTACATTGATAAGCTACTTTTAAAATTTATATGGAAATGCAAAGGAACCAGAAGAGTCAAAATAACTATACTGTCTGATTTCAAAACTTACATAGGTATAGTAACCAGGACAGTCTGGTAATGGCATAGGGTTAACATATAGATCAATGAAACAGAATAGAGTCCAAAAATAACCTCTCAAATATAATGAAAACACATTTTTGACAAAAGATTAAAAGCACTTTGGTGGTGAGAGATTATGTTTTTTAAACAAATAAGGCTGAAACAATGGGATAACCTTATAAATGAATAAATAGTGAGTGAGTAAATACGTAAATTTGACTGTTACTTACAATAGACACAAAATTAACTCCAAAGAACAAACTGATAAACTGACCATCAATATTAAAAACAAAATAAAAAGACAAGCTACAGTCTAGGAGAACATAGTTGCAAATGCTTTATGTGGCAAAATACTTGTTTCCGGAATACATGAAGAACTCTCACAACTTAATAAGACAAACCTATTTAAAAATGGGCAAATATTTGAATGGACATTTCATTTAAAATACACAAATAGCTAAAAGCACCTAAAAAGATGCTCAACATCAATAATCATTAGTGGACTGCAAATTAAAACCATAATGAGATTCCATTACATACCCCTACAGATGTCTATAATTAAAAAGACAAACAATATCCAGGGCTGTTGAAGATGTGGAGAAACTGGAACTTATACAGACTGCTGATAAGGAACATATACAGACTGCTGATAGACACTTAGGAAAACTGGCTGTTTTTGGAAGGTTAAATACATACTTACCACACAACTCCAGCAATTCCATTTCCAGATATCTATTCAAGAGAAATGAAATCATACATTCTCACAAAGGCATGCACATGATTTTCATAGCAGCATTATGCAGCATTGTGGGCAAATCCTGAAAACTATCATTTAACTTTCTATAACTTTGGTGTCCTTAGTTGGAAATAGGACCACTAATACCTCCTTCACAGATGTATAATGACATCACAGATACAGAGATTTCAGTATAGTGCTTGGCATACAGGTGCTAGGTACTGGCTATTAACCATCACAAAAATATTCAGGTTTGCCCTGGCTGGTGTGACTCAGTGGCTGAGTGTTGGCCTTTGAATCAAAGGCTCATTGGTTCATTGCCAGATCTAGGGCACCTGCCTGGGTTGTGGGCTAGGTCCCCATTAGGGGGCGCACAAGAGACAACCACATGCTGGTGTTTTCCTTTTTCTCCCTTCCTTCCCCTCTCTAAAAAATAAATAAAATCTTTAAAAAATTCTGTTTAAAAAACAATATTCAGGTTTCCTCTAAAAATGTGAAAACTCTTAACAAAACACATTTATGTTCTTGTAAGAATGGGCTGGGTAGGACAAAAGGGTGGCTGAACTACAACCTGGAAAAGACGACTGACCTCAAACCAGAGAGCTGAAAGGGCGGGCTTTGCTAAAACAGATATCCCCATAGCAACCTGAGCCCGAGGAGAACCACCAATGATATATTGCTGCTTTGTTCAAAGGGGACCAATCCCCAGCTCCCATGAAGAGAGCCAACAAAAACAAAACCCCGCCACATCCCCTGCTTAGGCAAGGCTTCTTCTTAGGCCCCACTATGTAGACCGGAGAACCTCGCCTGGGTGCGCAAACCCCAGTAAAGCTCTAACTTTAAAGCTCTACACAGCCTAACTTTGTGGTTGATTGGCATTTCTTCCTCTGTGGAGCCTAAGAAAACCTTTCACTTCTGTTTCTGCAGCGATGAAATTTCTTAATGTAAAAATAGAACCACAGTTTAATCAACATTACTCGAAATTGTAATAAAACTATTGAGAGTGGATAAATTTTGTTTTTTCAATCAGATTTTTCAAAATATAGCCATGTTCAAGGCACACATTGTTGTGTTTAAAAATATCAAAATGATTAACAAAATGAGATCTATCCATTGGCATGAGTGAAAACTGATTTAAGTAAGTTTATCAAAAAGCATAAGCTTTTAAAAACATCAGTTAAATCTTATAGAATAAGTAATATGAACAATATCCTAAATTCTTCTTTGACCAACAAATATTTCTTTTACTGCTCATTGCAGTACATATATATGATCACAGAATTACAGGGTTGAAAGGAAGCTAACTAGGCTATTTTTGTGTCTTTAAAATTTCTATCATAAAAGTCCTAATCCTACTAAACAACAGTCCAATGGAGAATCTATAACCTGTTTGGTAGTGAGTTCTCTTCTTTCAGAAGATTGTTCTTCAGTTGTTCTTTTCTGAAAAGAAATATGATATGCTCTTGAACAAAGAAAAGCACTGGCTACATTATAAAATTATTATCTCAGGTAATTTAGTTATGCAGATAATGTTTCAAATACAAAAACAAACAGCAATGGCTGAAAACTGGCATACCTCACAAGTGGGTGTACCTTTGGTTAGAAAGTAGTAAGAGATAAAAAAAAAAAACCCTGTAGCCTGGGAACATACTTAGGTGCCATGTTATAACTGAGCAGCCTGGGGTCTGGCCACCTGCCATGGTGTGCAAGCATAACTCGAGTCTTGGAGAATGAAAAAGGTCTTTATTAACAGGATAGCCAATTTGGTGGGGTTGCGAAGATCTCTGCTCCAAGCCAAGCTCTTCTGCAAAACACAGAAGTTCCCTTCTTCCCGAGAGAAATCTAAACCATGCCCAGTTCTCCATCATTCTGTCCTGTTGGAGTCCAAGGCAGCTAGCTACCCAAACAGGTCTCTGTCTCTCCAGCTTTCGGGCTCTCTGCGGTGTGCACTTGTGGGTCCAGAGTCATCATTGTCTCATGCAGCTTCCTCTCTCTCCTGGGGTCTGGGGGTGCACCCTGCCAGGTCACTCCAATCAGTCATGAAGGGGCACCCTGTGGGGCCTCAACATCCAAAGCTGCTCTTGTCCTTTGGACAAAGGAACCTTCCCTCTGTGCTACCCTGAGGGCAACAGATGCTACCCTCAGGGGAAGAGAGGAAGCAGTCCAGGACTCCTGCTGTGTGGTGTAGGGTTGCAGAATCCCACCAGAGCCCATCACTGGTGGAGTGCCTGCACAGGGTCCTGCTCCAAACCGGGCTAGCAGGCTAAGAGGTAGGAGTGAGGTGAGGCCCGGCGTCCTGCTGAGCACTCCCTGCACCCCAAACAAAGGCAAGAGGCAAGGAAGAGTGCGCTTTTACAAATGTTCTGTTTCAAAGCCTAGGCCCAGAAACCCATGTGCGATGGAGCAACGAGCTTTTCAACCAGTGTGGGCTAATGTTGGCATGTTTGTCAGTGTCTTTGCCCCTCTTCCTGCAGCCATTTTGCAGAAGGGGGCAGAAGTTTCCCAGCGGTGCACAGGCACGCAAGTGTCTCAGCCCAACACTGGGTATATGGCTTCCACAGCTGATGCAGGATCTTTGTAGGCTGTGTCACCCTGGTTTGTGCAGCCTCGTTGCCTTAGGGTATGGGAAGGCTGTCATGTGGTTTGGGTTGTGATTTCAATCCAGGCAATCCTGGCGGCCTTTGGCACTTCCTGCAACCCCCACCTTGAGGCAGAGGGGAGGTACTGGCTCTGGCACTGCTTCTGGGGTCCCTCAGCAGCTCCCAAGCGATTTGGTCCAACCTACCCTATTACAATGCTATGTGGTTTAAGAAAGAAGCTATTCCTAGAATACACTTAGGGCAGAAGTAGGTTTACAGTTGTCTGTATAGAAAATAATACAATTAATAAGTAATATAATAAACTGTGTTTCACATACAACTACAAACCTACTTTTACCTCACCCTGTATATTTTATTGCTACTCAAGAGGGAAATAATTAGGTAAGCAAAAACAAGGGACAGAGTTAACTTCATGATAGGTGCATATATGCAAAATGTATCAAATACCACTTTACTGTGCATAAAATTTGACTTAATATAAAGAATACTCAGAAATATTCTAATTTCCAATTATTTGTATTTTTCTTACATTTATAAGTTTTCCTAGTTGCCTATGAATATGAAATATTCATTGTCCAAAAGGATTTTACATTTTTAGAAATAATTGATATCTTCATATTTGCTTATACTGCATCAAGCAACAGTGATTCAGATATTAAAAGTTAATGTTTTTAATCATATTACTAGCACCAATACCTGTGAAATATTCAAAACTGTTAGAATTTTTTATAGAACACAACAGTTACGTAAAATTGAGCTTTGAACTCTAGGAGTCCTAGCTATTTCAGTTATTAGCAACTCTGTAAGGGAAAAGGGGAGCCAGGTGTCAGTAGCTACTGGGGCACGGGAAGCTAAAAACGACCCCCTCCATTCAACTACCAAAACAAAGCTGTAAGATCCTCCTCTATCCCAGCAGACTACAGGCTGACTTTTCATGACTTACTTCCCCACTCAGAAGATTCCTTTGATATCTTTCTCCTGAATGAAACGCAGTTTGGGAGGGAAAGAAGCACACAGTGTAACGATAACCCAGGCCATGCTACCTCCAACCCCTAGGGGAAACCCCAGCCAGACCATATGCCTCTAGGGACAACCTATCTGAGGTACTATTTTTATTAAGGAATAATGTCTGCAGCAAGGAAGGAAATGAAATATCACCAGTATGCCATTTATTACAGTGACAAACATTTTGAGACATCCAAGAAGGCCTGAGCAAAACAATTTTTATTCTCTGTATATATTTTTAATTATATTTTATCAATTACGCTATTACAGTTGCCCTGATTTTTCCCCCTTAGCCCCCTCTCTACCCAGCACCCCCTCATTCCCTCAGCAATGCTCTCACCATTGTTCATGTCCATGGGTCATGCGTGTAATTTCTTTGGCTATTCCATTTCCTATACTGTTATTTTAGATCCCCATGGCTATTCTGTAACTGCCCACCTGTACTTCTTATTCTCTATATTTTACAGAACTGATGAGTTGGAGAATTTATTACATTTTATTTCTAAAATATTCTTTTTTACTTCTAAAAAAACACATTTTACCTATGTTGTACTGAAAATTCATGTTCATATCTCTTCCTATATTTTGCTTATACAGTTACAGATTAGTTTTTAGGTTGCTATAAAGAAATGTAAATAATATTTTAATATTTTAGAGCTAGCTGTCCTAATTTTACAAATGAAGTATCTGAACCTCAGAAAGGTTTCTGCCCTCTGTCAGGTCACAAATAGGACTCTGCAGTGAAGGTGGGATTAGCATTCAGACTCCCAGCTCCCCTCAGCACTCACCAAACCGCATCACACTCTATAAACCAGTGTTGCAAAGAAGCAACGCGACAGTCTGGGTGACAGAAGTCGTTAGCTTTAGTTTATATGTACAAAGCAAAGGGCACTTACCTTTTTCATTTTCTTCACAAATCTAAACATGATTAACAAGGCAGATAGATAATCCAACAGAGATGAATTTGGTTGGCATAAACAATGATTTGAGTTGGTATATGTTATTAATTTCTATGAAATCTAGACAGTTAAAGGAGTTAATATGGCAAAAAAAAGACTAACATTTTTTAGTGCATACTACTGTTAACTGGTATATTCAAATGCCACAAAGAGATGGGGAGCTACGTTACACACAACAGACAATCTTAAAATGACATTAGCCTTTTAATAATAAATTATTTCAATAGTTTATTCTTGTTATTGATAGGAATATTTTCTTAATAAATTCAAATAATTTTGTAACAGTGAATAATAAGCTAACACTAGAAAAGTTAACATACACAATTACACTGACATTTTAAGGGCAGAAAGCGATTGACTGAAATCTCTCCTATAACTTTTAATTTTTAGTCAAACGATGTTGAAATAAGTTGGAATAGAAAACTGTATCTGATTCTTTCATATTTTCAATGTAAAAGTGCTCTGACAAAGAAAATTCCAATTTTCTGTATGTTTAAATGATATTACAGCAAAAGGCAACATTTAGATTGTAGAATGTAGCTGATAAAAACATGTGATATAAATTTAAGTAATTAGCTTTTTCCACATAGAAGAAAATCAATGATCAAGTAAATTCAACATGATTATGGTGACTACAGAAGAAATATCAAGTATGATATTTTTTAGTTCTTGTTTGGCACATATATTAATAAATTTTCAAACATCAAACAATATAACACCAATATTTACTACAACCAACTAACACAACAGTAAGATTCCTAATGCACAGTTAATTATTAACACCATAAAAACCTAATTTCCTTATATATTCTGAAACCAGGTATACCCCCTGTGCTGTGCAAGCTGGCCCAAGCCCCGTCTTTTTGGGGATCCCCAAGAATTCATAAATATTTCAAAGTTAACTAATGTTGAACCCCACGATTCCTCACTGAATTTGGTGGATCTTCGGAACAGGCCTTCATTATGGGAATATACACAAACACTCATCACAATTTTGAAAAGAATGGAAGGCCTTCATACATGTCAGTTTTTAGTTTTATCCAATCATTAATTTTCTGCAGAGTTGTTTTTTCTTGACTTAATATTTTTGCAAGTTTTTTCATTTTTTCTTCGTTTCTTTCTATGTATCTCAACCCTTCCAACTGCAGCTGATCCAGCTTTTCATTCCGGCTTTCATCTAGAGGTATATTTTCACACATTACAGGATTGAATCTAAAATAGGTGTCAGGAGGTAACAGACCATCAAGCATTACATGGACTTCTGTTAAAACAGAGAGAACAGGGTGGATAGGAAAACAGTTATTCTTCTGTAGTGATCTAATGTTCTTTTTTTAAAGTTATCTTCTTTTAGAGAAAATTACAAAACCTTGTTTATTTCATCATTCCAGCTAATTAACAGTAGAAAAAAATCCACAATAATAAATATAACTATATAGTAAAATTCATCTCCCAGAATCCTTTCTATAGTTCTGTTAAGTTAGGATACTTGATCCAATACTCTCTTCTGTTTTTGGTCATACCAAATTTGAGCCACTGCTGAAATGCCTTTCCAATCTCCTATTTTTGTTTTCAGTTTTCTGGGATCATGTTTGTTGAGGCACAATTTACATACAATAAAACTTACCAATTTTACCAATATAATTCGACAAGATTTGACAAATGTAACCACCAAAACAATCATGACGTAGAACATTTCCTTCACCCCCAAAAGTTCCTTCAGGACTCTTTACAGTCGGTCTCCCCTTACCTCTGCCTTTTCTAGAATTTCACATAAACAGAATCATAAGGATACAGCCCTTCTATGTCTAGCTGCTTTTACTTAATAAAAGGCTTTTAAAATTTATCTATGTTTAGTATGTATAAATAGCTCCTTCCTTTTTATTGCTGACTAGTATTCTATTGTACAATTTAGCATAATTTGTTCTCTACAGTTATTTCTCTTCAGTTTTTAGATATTAGAAATGATCCTCCTATAAACATTTATACCCAAGTATTTTTGCAGATAAATGATTCTCTTTCTCTAGAGTAAATACCAGGGGATGAAAGTGGTAAAAGTATGCTTATTTTTTTAACAACTGCAACACTGTTTTCCAAAAAGCTATACCATCTTGCATTCTAATCATTAACACACCAGAGTTCCCACTGTTTCATATCTTTGCCAAAACTTAGTATTGCCAGTCTTAAATTTAGCCATTCGAGAGAATGTGTAGTGGTATCTTGGGGCTTTAATTTTAATTTCCCTAATACTAATGATTTTGAGAAGTGTTTCAGGTACCTATAAATCATCTACCCGTACATCTTCATGGAGTGTCTATTCAACTATTTGGGGCATTATTTTTTACTGAATTTCTTGTTTTCTTCTTCATATATTCTTTATAGATATAAGAATTCTCTATATATTTTGGGTATGACTATATATTTCTGATAATGGATCAGATATACATTTTACTAATACTTTATTTCAGCGTGTAGCTTGTCTATTCACTATCAGAAGTATCTTTGAGCCCTGGCTGGTGTGGCTCAGTGAATTGAGCACCAGCCTGTGAACCGAAGGATCGCTGCAGGTTTGATTCCCAGTCAGGGCACGTGCCTGGGTTTCAGGCCAAGTACCCAGCACGGGGCGAGCAAGAGGCAATCACACTGATATTTCCCTGTCTTTCTCCTTCCCTTCCCCTCTCTAAAAATAAAGCAATAAAATCTTAAAAAAAGAAAAAGAATTGTCTTTGAAAGAGCAAAATTTGTAATTTGATGAAGTCTAATTTATTTTCTTTCTTTTGGCTCATGCTTTTTGTGTTACATTTAAAAATTTTTACCTAGCATAGGCCATTAATATTTTCTCTGGGGTATTCTTCTAGGAAGTTTTACAATTGTAGCTGTTATACTTAGGTTCATGATCCATTCAAGTTAATTTTTATATATGTAATGAAGGGTCAAATTTCACTCTTTTTTGAATACAGCTATGTAGGTGTTCCAGTACAATTTGTTGAAAATTTCCTTTCCTCAGAAATCTTTTGAGCTTACATGTATACATCAACTTCTGTACTCTCTATTATGTATCACTGATCTATGTCTATCTTTATGCAAATAACATAGTCCCTTGCTTTCCTCCAACTCTGTTCTTTTTCAAAACTGTCTTGGCTATTTTAGGTCCTTTACACAGCCATATAAATTCTTCACTAACTAGAGTGAAATAAGTCTAGAATGGCAGCATTTCACATTTCTTGAAAATCTGAAGTGAGCTCATCAGAGGGTTTGCACAAGGTACATGTTTAATATGAAACTGCATAATTTATCTTTTTCTCAGTGGAGTGCTTGCATAAGAGTATTTTATGGATTTGACAACAAAATTTCACATAGTGAAAAAACCAGTACATATGTCAGCTTTTCTTGGGTTATCATTGAATAGATGAAAGTCCTTCGTGGGTTCTTAAGGTCCTTACGTAGGCAAATGAGTCAGCTAATAATATGTTAATAAGAAAAAGTGAGATTCAGAATCAAGGGGCTAAGTGGTAACAATTCTTTTAAAAATTTTAATAATTGGCCCTGGCTGGTTAATAGCTCAGTAGATTGAGCACATGCCTGTGAAGCAAAGGGTTGCCGGTTCGACTCCCAGTCAGGGCACATGCCTGGGTTGCAGGCCAGGGTCCCCAGCAGGGGACACATAAGAGGCAACCACACATTGATGTTTCTCTCCCACTCTTTCCTCTTCCCTTCCCATCTCTCTAAAAATAAATAAAATATTTTTAAAAAATTATATAATTGATTTCACATAGGATTTTAAAATAAAATAGTAAAAAATAAGGAGATTGAGATCTCAAGGCCAAAACTAGAAATTCAACAAATACTGACTGTCTACTAAGTACCAGACACTGAAATCAACATATTCAACTGGATCAATTCCTGCCTTACATTTTTGTAGCATAGAGAGATAATAGGCAATTAAACAAGCAAGTATGTATAACATACATCCAAAGGAGATAAACGCTTTAGGAGACTGAAAATAAGGAACAGGATAAGGTGTTACAGTGAGATGGTGAGGGAGCAGGAAAGTGGTCAAGAGAGGTCTCCAAGTGAATGATATCTGAGAAGTGGCTGGAATAAAATAAGGGAATGAATCAAGCATGTATCTTGGAAAGGCTTTATAGGAAGAAAATACAGCAAATGTAGTGATCCTGAGGCAGGAGACTTCTTAGCAAGTTTGAGGAACAGTAAAAATTAAAGTGCAGGTGGATACGTTATAAAAGGGACACATTTTGAGGGGAAAGGAAAGGAGGAAGAGATGTAGTCAAAAACTGGGTTTTACAGGGCCTGGTAAATTTCAGTGAATGAGACTTCTGGATTTGGTTCTAAGTGTAATGGGAAGCCTCGAGGGTTTTGAGCAGGGTAAAAGACATGATTTATGTTTTTTAAAAAATCACTTCAGCTTTCATATGAAGACTAGACTACAGGAGCATCAAGGGCAGAACACCTTATTCTAAATCCAGTTTGTCTCCATATTACTAAATAATCTAACGCTGGAAGGATTCTAATTCTCTCACTATTGTGTGTATATTTGGACCAATCTGACCCCTTTTCTCTTACCAGTTTCTTAAATGGCTTACAAGTCTCCAACTAAGCCTTTGCACTAACTCAGCTATAGATACTTTTCCAACTCTAAATAGGCAAGGACCTAACTCCCACATGGAGAAGAGTCTCTATTCTAGGGTCACTTAGAAGAAATAACTGGGGAGAAATAAAGACAATAGAAGAATTGCTCCCAGGTGCTTCCTAAGCCTACAATACAGATATAACACATACTCTTTTGCAGTAAGCAGCAGCACATCCTATAAAAGCTGAATTCTAGAAGTTGAAGCGCTCCAAGGTAGCAAACAACTCACCTTCCGTATCTGTAGCACTGTTGATAACATTAGACAGTTTAGTTTTCAAGCTTGTATATGTCATGGTGTTTCTTACATCACTCTCGTAACGTCCAGTGCCTAGGGACACTATACACTCTAATGGGACGTCTGGCCAAAGACATTTACACTCGTGCATTGCTAATGCTGAAGGATTATTCAGAAGCAAACCTCCATCCTGCAAAATACAAGAAAACATAACACAAAACTCTTAAAAGTAAAATTCTGTTTTACAAATATGAAAACAAAAAATTGTAATTTAAAACTAACAGGGAAAGGTGGACTATTTAATAAATTCAACAACATATTATTTAGTAACAAAAGGTTTCTTTAAAGTGCCCTGACCGGTGAGGCTCAGTTGGTTGGGCATCATCCTGCAAAGGGAAAGGTCACTGGTTCTACTCCAGGTCAGGGCACGTGCCTGGGCTGCAGGTTTGATCCCTGGATGGGCGCGTGCGTACAAGAGGCAACCAATTGATGTTCCTCTCTCACATCAACGTTTCTCTCCTTTTCTTTTTCCTCCCTCCCCCCTCCCTAGAAAAAATAAAATAAAATATAAAATTTTACAAAAATAATATACCATTAAAAAGTTTTTAAAAATTTTAAAATCTTTTATTGTTGATCAATTAGTTGTCCCCATTCCCCCCACACCCATTACTCTCCCCTGCCCAGCCCACCCCCCACCCCCACACTCAATCCTCCCTGTTGTTCTTGTCCATGGGTCCTTTATACACGTTCCTTGACTTGACCCTTCCTATTTTTTCCTGTTATTCCCCTCCTCCTCTCCCCTCCGTTCACTGTAAGTTTGTTCTTTATTTCCATGTCTCTGGTTTTATTTTGCTCATTTGTTTTGCTGATTAGGTTACTTACAGGTGAGATCATATGGTATCTGTCTTTCACCACCTGGCTTATATCACTTAGCATAATGCGCTCCAGTTCCACTCATGTCAAAAAGGGTAAGAGCTCCTTCTTTCATTCCACTGCATAGTATTCCATTGTGTAAATGTACCATAGTTTTGTGATCCACTCATTTACTGCTGGGCACCTAGATTGCTTCTAGCACTTGGCTGTTGTAAATTGTGCTACTATGAACATTGAGGTGCAGAGGTTCTTTTGGATTGGTGTTTTAGGATTCTTAGGGTATAACCCCAACAGTGGATTGCTGGGCCAATGAAAAGTTCCATTTTTAGTTTTCTGAGGAAATTCCATACTGTTTTCCACAGTGGCTGCACCAGTCTCTAATCCCACCAACAGTGCACTAGGATTCCCTTTTCTCCACAACTTCACCAGCACTTGTTGTTGATTTGTTTATGATGGTCATTCTGACTGGTGCAAAGTAATATCTCATTGTGATTTAATTTTTTTTAAAAAGGTCTTTTTAAAGTGAATTTACTTTATATACTATGGCTACAAAAAGTCATGCAAAAACTCACTGACCTCACTGGCCTTATTAAGCTTTCCTTTATTATGGAGGTTCTGTGAACTTCTTGGATTGCTTTATCCATTTTGCTCAAAACTACTGAAGTGAATTGAATTACTTTTTAAAGATATATTATCCTTTGCTTAGTGGTTAATATAGAATCTATACAAAACCTAAGGAAAAAAGCTGTGCTTCCACTAAACAATTAAAACTAGTTCTCCACTCACAAGTCAACTAAATTAATGCAAATAATTTGAAATTTTATTGACAGCACAATTTCAAAGTATTACATTCATTATAATGCAGATATTATGTAAACAAAGCAGGCAAGCTTTCTATTTCCAGGCATTTATCAATAATCAATATTATTTTGACAAATTCAAAAGGAAAGAAGGGTAAAATATGCTGAAGGAGTACTATTAAAATGTAGTAGTAAGAGTGCACAACCAATGTACAACTTGGTTTTAGTGTCCATTCACATGTGAAAAGCTATGAGCTGCTAGAGAATTATTTCTTCCAATAAGTGCAAATCTCTCCCGGTAACTTTTACCTATTAATTGTGGATTTTGCAGTTACACAGAATTGGTTGTCTAATCCTGCAATCTAGTCACTTACATATTTTAAAGGAAGGTAGTGCCATCATAGTAACTCAAAAATTCTTGGGCAAAGATACCCAATGAACTAAATTTTTTGTGAAACATTTTTTCCCTTCAAAATTCCTTTTTAATGTCCTAGTACAGTAAAATTATGGTAATTTATTTATTTTATTTTATTAAAAGATTTTATTTATTTATCTTTAGAGGGGAAGGGAAGGAGAGAGGGAGAGAAATATCAATGTATGGTTGCCTCTTGTGTGTCCCCTGCTGGGAACTGGCCTGCAACCCAGGTATGTGCCCTGACTGGGAATCGAACCATGGTTGCTTGATTCCCAGGCCCGTGCTCAATCCACTGAGCTACACCAGCCAGGGCAAATTATGGTAATTTAGAATGTTTGGCAAATGAACTGATTTGCATAGCAGGGTATTCCTTAAAGTGGAGAGTGTATTTAAAAATTAAACTTTTGCCCTGGCTGGTGTGGCTCAGTGGATTGAATGCTGGCCTGTGAACCAAGGGTTGCTGGTTCAATTCCCAATCATGGCACATACCTGGGTTGTGGCAGGTCCCCAGTAGGGGGTGCAGGAGAGGCAAACACACATTGATGTTTCTGTCCCTTTCTCCCTCCCTCCCCCTCTGTCTAAAAATAACATAAAGTCTTTTTAAAATTAAACTTTTTCTGCAATGCTATACACTTTTAAAAATATATAATGTATTTAAATTTTTCCTGAGGATTCAGGATTGTGGGGAAAACACAGATTAGGAATATTGATATTTATAATTCTAAGTTCAGCTCTTGTACTCACTAGCTCATTGGTTGAGGCATCATACTTTTAAAAATAAAGTTAGACTAGATAATTTGTAAAGTACATTCCAGTTCCAAAATTTTATGATTAGGTATTGTTTTGATACATTTTACATGAGCTCAATAGTAACTTATTTTACTACTGGCCCTAGAACTTAACAAGTTTTCCTTTCAAATAATCTGCAAGTTTCTAATAAAGGTAAAAAGAAGATGCAGCAACCCAACCTCTAGAGAGGTAATCATCTGCCTGCCTTTTTACAAAACTAGTTTATCAAAGGATCAAAGAAACTTCTCCCAAGTGGTTTCCTTTCCTTGTGAGAAATCATCTACCCTAAACCTCCACTACTGTCAGTATTAGTGGTCTCTAGCTTAAGACCCCATTAAAAACTTTATGCAGGACTTTGCTCTGCTAATGAAGTATACTACTGTTACTAAAATATATTATGGACTGTGAAGCAGAAACACTTCTAACCTTTTGTGTACTTATATTCGGTTACTTTAGGAGAGGTCATACTTATTTCACAAATCATTGGTAATTATAACTCTTCATTTTAAACATTACCAAAACAACTTTCTCAAAAACAGGTATCTCAAATAACAGCCTGGTTCAAGTAGTTGAGATTACACTGGATGGCAGGAACACAGAAATGTTCCAAAGTAGAATCGCAGCTTCCGGAGAAAGTTGATTGGCTCTTTAGTTAAGGAATACCCAGTGGGAGATTAATGGTCCTTTATCATGGCATGTCATTCATCCGCAACATACAGCTTTATGATACCTTGGGGATGATAACAAGAACACACAGGGCTGTGTGGACTCTCAGAAAAGCTGTTTTATCACATGTTCTCAGTGTTGGCCCTGTTTGCCATTTTAGAATGGGTTGTCTGCTGCCACTTCAACTCTAACCTCTACCTTCCTGAGCTGCCAACCTCCTCCACTGTCTAACTACCTCTCTTCAAAAGACTGTCTTATGTTTCCACATTTGTGACTTTCATAAGAAAAGGCTATTCTTTTAAAAGAAATCTCTTGTCAATAGGGGCACATTTATCACAGGCCCACCATATTTCAGTTCTTTGGCTCTTTTCCTAAATGTTACTTTGTGGCTGAAATGTGCCCTTAAATTGCGATTGTCTCTGAAACCTAGAAACGAAAGAAAGATGGTTTGTGAATGACCCAGGTCTGGGACAGGAAAAAAATGATGGGAGTGGGGGAGGCTGGGTTCACCTTATTTGCCCCCCAACTAGCAGCAGGTGTGCTAAGAAAGGTGCAACCTTCTTCCTTTCTTTACACCCAGGAAGAAGGAAATGTGTACCAGCAGCACAATGACAAAAAAGCAATACACATGATAGCACTGTATTTATCTTTATTATAGACTCAATAGGCCCAATTCTCAGTGTAAATTTTAGTAAGATAGTTAAATGCTATAGTAATAGTTGAATCATTCCTAAACTCATAGAATGGCAGAGAATATGCACAAAACATCAGAATCCTAAACTAAACTTCTCAAAGTGCAAGTTCAGATTGTAAGAAGTAAGCCTTCTCTAACCAAGTAGATTGTTTCAGTTCAAAAACTTAAATGCCGACCTACTTTATGACAGCCCAAAAAGCGTGATCCCTGTGTGTGCTGTTTGAAGCAGATGAACTGAGACTGTACCTGCTACAACCGGTCACTATGGTGAGTGAGACAAGTTTTTAGTGCACGAGGCCCACTTTCCTTCATGTTCTTTAAAGACTCTGCTATTGCACTATGCTGACACTTCCCCAGTATTGTCACCTACCAGTCACTCCTTCTATTCAACAAGTTGGTCAGAACGTGGCTCACAGACTTACCTGCTCGCCCATGTGCCAAGGGCAGAAATCCTTTATATTACCCAACATGCCTTCGCATATTTACAATACCTTGGATTCTCAGTTCCGTACTCCTCTTACTGACAAAAACTAGTTCCCTACTCTCCAAGGTCACACATTATCTTTTGTTATCAAAATAAATGGAATCACACAGCACATGGTCTTTTGAGTCTGGTTTCTTTCACCTAGAGAATGCTTCTGAGATTCATCCATGTAATTCCCACCTTTTTATGGTTGAGTAGCAGTTAATTATTCAAATTATTCAAATATAACAGTTTATCCATTCACCAGCTGAAAAAAACAATTTTTTAAAATTTATTTATTTATTTATTTATTTATTTTTTAAAGAGAAGGGAAGGGAAGGAGAAAGAGTGGGAGAGAAACATCAATGTGTGGTTGCCTCTCATGTGTCCCCTATTGGGGACCTGGCCTGCAACCCAGGGAATCCCTGACTGGGAATCGAACCAGCGACGCTTTGCTTCACAGGCCTGTACTCAATCCACTGAGCTACAC